CGAATTAAATTCCGGATTAATTGCCTGTAGCCGTAGTACCGTTGACACCATCTCGACCAATAGCAGACACAATCCCCTCCCAATACGTCCAATCCTCGTATCCATTAGTCATTGGTGCTCCTCCTTCAACGTCCATCATCCCATCCGTCCTCGGCGCATTGGTAAATACATACGGCGCCGGAGTGGGAGCGTTGAGCCAAGGTGAGGTAAAATCGGTTGTCCCGGACGCTTCCGCTCCGAACCCGCTACTATTGATAACGCTATTGCACCAATTATCAAGTAAGCTTTGCGCTTCTTCATTCGGCGGGGTAAACCCTCCCGTAGAATTGGTAGAGTGTCCACCGCGGGAAGGGTGTCTGCCGTGATGCGGTGAAAACCCAGAATCCATGGGCGAGCGAGGCGACGGCGTCGACTGGATTCCTTGGAAGATGGGTTGTTGGAGACTAGGTAGTACTGCCTTCTGGCCCGTTGAATGAGGAGAGGAACGATGATTGGACATGGGATGACCAAAGGACTGTTGTCCACTAAGTCCCATGAGTAACGATGCATTGGCTTGCGCTTGAACTTGTCCTTCCTTAGCTCGAGAGATCCCGGAGAACCCGCCCTCTTCAGGTCCTGCTTCGGCTTTCTTCTTCAGAAACTCTATGATCTTCATTTCCCTGCGGGTAGTAGCATCGGTTTCATGAAGGCCTTCATGATCCCGGAGGAATCCATCCAGAATTTCGTGTAACTCTGCTGCGTCGGGAGACACAGGATCTAGCATGAGACCTATTCCAGCAATCATTGCTGCTTGGAATTCTCTATATGCTCCTCCTAATGCCCGGATAACGTCAGCTGGCATGGTTTGTTTGAAATGTTGACGAATCTTGTACTCTTGCTTCGCGGATTCGAAACATGCCCTTCGTGAAAGTCCATATTTCTCAGAGGTAAGACGGCGTAGAAGATAAGGGCGGTGTAAAGAGATCCTGACAAAGAAGACTTCGGTGATGATGATGAATCGATGGACAGGAATATAAGGGTGGGTGAGGTCGAGGCTGGTATCAGTGTTTTCGACGGCGTAATGTGGTGGTAACTTGTTCATAAAGCGTTGAAGCTCTTCATCCAACCTCACTACATCATCGTAGTGTGCATGGCTACGCACGCGTTGGAAATGGTGAACTATATGACCTATTATGGTGGCTAGAGAATGACGGAGGACAAGGAATGTCCATGGAGTAGGCTGCAAGAAAAATTCA